TTATGATCATAACACAAATTGTATTCAAATCCTTGCTAGCTTGTGAATCGAACCCTTGATTTTTCTTTTCTCATGGAGAATTTATATGCATGCAGGATTTATCAGGTCAAAAACAGGAAAAAAGTGATATGAAGGATGGAGCCCAACCTTTGATGTTGGAGGAATTAAAAGATTCTAATGTGACTCCACTGACAAATAATGATTCGAAGGCACCGTCTAGCGATAACAATGCTTCAATATTGAAATCTTCTAAAACAAGAGACGATTCAAGCGAGACAAGTACCTCTCAGGAGAAGACACTTAAGAAGCCAGACAAGATACTTCCATGCCCGCGCTGTAATAGTATGGACACAAAGTTCTGTTACTTCAACAATTACAATGTCAGTCAGCCTCGGCACTTCTGCAAGAAATGTCAGAGATACTGGACATCTGGTGGGACCATGAGGAATATGCGAGTGGGTGCGGGTCGCCGTAAGAACAAGAATGCAGCTACTCATTACCGTCAACTAATGGTCTCAGAAGCACTTCAGAATGCCCGAGTTGATCTCACGAGCGGAATTCAGCAGCCATCTCTCAGTCCCAATGGCACTGCCCTTGCTTTTACTTCAGATGCACCGCTATGCGAGTCGATGGCTTCTGTTTTGAGCATTGCTGATAAAACAATTCAAAACTGCTCGCAGAACGGGTTTCACGAACCAAAAAAGAAAGAAATCTCAATATCTCGTGGAAATAAGGATAATGGAGATGATCACTTGGGTGGATCATCAGTCTCTGCAGCAAATTCAAACAACAGGGTTGACAAAACTGGGTTACTTGACTCACAGATGAAGAATTTTCATAGCTTTACTCCTCAGGTACCTTGCCTTTCTGGAGACCCGTTCCCTTACCCATGGAATTCAATTCAATGGGGAGCTCAAGTATCCTCCTCTGCTCTTGGACCTACAAGTTTCCCTCTGCCATTCTATCCTACTGCACCATACTGGGGTTGCCCAGTACCTGGCCCATGGAATGTTTCTTGGGTGGTCCCACCAACTTCTTCACATAACCACACACCTCAGGGTTCCAGTCCCGATTCCCCGACTTTGGGGAAGCATTCACGGCATGAGAACGATTTGAAGCCAGCCAGCAACGACAAACACAAGACGCAAAATGAGAGTAATTGTGAGAAGTGCTTGTGGGTTCCCAAAACATTGCGAATTGATGACCCGGGAGAAGCTGCAATGAGTTCCATATGGGCAACATTGGGTATAAAAAACGAAAGAGTCCATTCTTTTGGTGGGCGAGGCCTCTTCAAAGCCTTCCAAAGGGTATCAAAGGACGATGAGAAGAAGACTCACGTTTCCGATACCTCTACAGTATTACAAGCCAATCCAGCCGCATTGTCCAGATCATTAAACTTCCGTGAGAGCTTAGGAGCAGATAGGTGAGAAGCTTTGTAAATCTTACACTTGGTGACAAAATGGAAAGGATAATATCTTTCGTCAACGAGTTTTCTTCGTCTGGTCTGCCATTTGTTCCTTCAGAAGATCATTATCCCAAAGCACAGACTAATCCGAAAGAAGATTGGTTGCATTTACCTCTTGAGATAAGGTTTAAATGACCAAGTCACCAATTCAACTTCTCCTGGGTGGATGATGAAGTAGGTGATTTTTATTTTAAAGTGATGGTCTGGTGAGGTTTTAGTTCATGTACATATATATGAAATAATTAGAACTTGAACAAAGGGAGTTTTGTGCAACAAATTCCACATGCTATAAACTAAGTTGGGGATTCCAAAGTCATCACTTTGTTCATCTTTTTGGACATGCGATTCAGTTGGTATTCTTAACAGGAAAGGAATTTTTCTGTGAGTTTAGTAGGACAAGTCACAACAGAGATACTCAGTAGGACAAGTCACGAGAGAGACATAAGGTGACATTGTAGGTTGTTAAAATATAGCTGCAATCAATTTTTTAATACGGGTTGCAAAAACTTACTCCAAATTGATCAAGGATAAAGCTTAGGTTTTTAAATTGTCTTCATTAAATGTGTTTGTCTAAAAGAGTTTTGCTATGGATACATAATTTGGTGTATCGAAGGGTGTACAAATTCTTACATGGTGGGGTTCACTCGAATATTTTATTCATGTGGGTCCAATCCTCATGTGAGAGGGTATACACCCTTCAATAGGTCAAATTATGTACTGTTAGCTTTATCCTTGTCGAAAATGGCAAGAAGACCTAGCATTGCCATTTCATGGATTGATTTTCAAAAGAAAAAAGGGACCGATTTAGATTTTGAAAATAAGCGAGCAAAGAAGTTACTTGCTTGACATTTCTGGAGTTGATGCTTTAAATTTCGTTGATAATAGAATGTTCTTATTAATTTTCTTGAATGACAAATTGGTGAAATCTAAATAACATTCTTACCTATTCAAGAAGATTGTGTTTTGTTCAGATTTTAACTCTTATTGAAATCTTATATAGGGATCGTTAAAAGATTAAATGATATAAAAGAGTCCTGAAGTCTTGATCCTCTTTATTCTTTTCTCTTAATTTAATAACATTTTATTGATATGAACTCTCGATTTTATTTTATTTTTATGGGGGAATTGAAGCATGAATTAAATATTTCATTATTACCACAACTTAATTTTCTGCAATATTCTCGATTGTGAATTCATGTCAATCATTTTTTATTCACTATAGCACAAATCGAAAATCTTAAATTGGGTTCGTTTGAGTGAATGGTACTCTTCTACCTTCATGTTTGTTTATGTTTATATGCATGGGTGAGTTGCTAGGAATCTTCTAGTGCTCGAAATTTGAATAATGTCATTGGCCTTGGCTATGTGGAAAATTTATATATTCGTGCGAAACTCGCAGGCGTACAGGCTCATTAATAAGTAATAACAATGAGATGAGCATCGTCTCACATTAAATAAATCCTAAATGAATTGTATTAGTTTTGTATCAAATTCGAATATAATAGAACAAAAGATATGTTGTATGTGATTATTCTAATTTATTCTACTACTAGTTACGTGAGGATTGTATCTATAAATTATGAGACGAATGTATTGGACTTACGAATTTACTTATTATTGTTCACTTTTCAATTCTCGAGTTATATAATTAATGATATTTATGTATTCATGTCAGTCAATAATTCATTGATAACTAACTATATCTTCTGAGGTAAGTTAAACATATTCTATACACGATCCGATCATATACCTTTTTCGAACTCATATGCAAAATAATGACTTAACGAGCACGATTATCTAAGAGATTAGACACATGGATACATGTTATTCCTTACATCTATTTTGGTGTGTTAAAATTACAAAGTTCTAACTTATTGTAAATCTCTCAATACTATAACAAGTAACTAATCACCTAATTGGCGACTAATCAATCAAGTAATGCAACGAAGCATACAAGATTAATTTTAAAAAATGCAAAAATATACTAAACTACTAGTTTTTTATTTAAAAATAAGAGAACAAGTGTTTCATTTTAATCCAATACATTCAAGAATCTAACTTGGCATGGTTTCTATGATATTACAAGAAAAAATATGAGAAGGTATTGCCCCTTACATGTTTAAATACAGGAAATCTTGATCTTCATGTTCTTGATATGACGTTCCTTCAATTACTTGCTATGATCTTCAATTCAAAATATGATAAATTGTTATATATTTATGGTATAAATATAAAATGTGAAAGAAATAATCAAATTAGATAAAGTGCCAAAGTGGTGGGAAATGTGACATTTGTGTGGGACGTCAGGGGTTCGAGTCACTCCCCACGCATATATTAAAATGTTTTGATTGGGGCCTTGGGGCCTTGGGTTTTCTTGACTAAAATAAATATATTTTTTTTAATGGGTAAAACTAGTCAGTATTTTATGACTGTTTGTTTTTGTAACAACCCACTAACAGTCATTAAAATACTCACTACTCAGTCATTAAAATTCTGCATTAACATGGTGAAGACTGTTACTACCATCTTGTCTATATAAACCCATATCTCGTTGAGAGAAAAGACACACAAAAAGAAAATAGAAAAATCATCTTGCATCAATCACTCTTTTCATATTGTGAATTTCTTATATTCGGGTTTTATATCTATTTTGGAGTATAATTGAGAGTTCTAGAAAAACCATTCGTGATTGCTGCACAAGTGGTTTACGATCGTTGTATTCTGGGAGTGATTGTCCACGGAGGTCGCAGCAATTATTGACGGGCAATTTCACTTTAAAACATCGTGCTGTCACGAGACTCGATCGGACGATAAGTTTTATATTTCTGCATTATATTGTTCTGATCACTACTGCAACTAATTATTTTTTCCTACAATCTAAAGTGAAACTATTTTATAATTAGTTGCCATGTCTGCCGTAGATATATCTGTTCCTAAGTATTCTAAAAAGCCTGAGTTGTTTGATAGAAAGAATTTTAAGAGATGACAAATGAAACTGCGATTTTATTTGACAACACTTAAAGTCGTTGATGCTATTGAATCAGATAAACCCGGTTTTGTAATTGCTGATAATCCCACTGATAAGGAAACAGAGGATTTAGCTAATTGGGAACATAAGGATTATATGTGCAGAAATTATATTCTGAATTGTTTGACTTTAGATTTGTATGATGTTTACTACTCTTGTAAATTTGCAAAAGAGTTATGGAATTCATTAGAAAAGAAATATGCTACAGAAGATGCTGGAACCAAGAAATTTGTTGTGGGAAAGTTTTTAGATTTTAAAATGAATGATGTCAGAACTGTGGTTAGTCAGGTTGAAGAATTGCAGATTATAATTCACGAAATTATTGCTGAAGGATATAAAATCTGTGAGGACTTTCAAGTGTCAGCTATAATTGAAAAATTGCCACCTTCTTGGAAAGAGTATAAAAATAGTTTGAAGTATAAAAGAAAAGAAATGTCCTTAGAGGATCTGATTATCAGGATTAGAATCAAGGAGGACAATAGAATGGCAGAACGTAAGGAAAGGCCAGGTTTTGATACCAAGGCTAATCTTATTGAAGGAAGTTCTGGGACTAAGAAATCAATTGGAAATTTTACAAGGGGTCAGAACTTCAAAGGCAGAAATAAGGAAAAACAATTTGTAGGAAAGAACAATCGGTTTAAGCCCCAATTTAAAAATAAAATTGTTGGCGACTGTTTTGTTTGTGGTAAACCAGGTCACTTTGCAAAGGATTGCAGAAATAGGAAAGGAAAAGCTGTGAAGCATCAGGCACATGTGGTAGAGGATGGGAATTTCTCTGCTATGGTGACAGAAGTGAATCTAGTAAGCAACATGACAGACTGGTGGGTAGATTCTGGAGCTACCAAGCATATTTGCTGCACGAGAGGTGCATTTTCTTCATTCACTCTCGCTAGTGATGGAGAATGTCTGTTCATGGGCAATGCTTCCTCCTCCAAAATAGAGGGGAAAGGAACTGTGACGCTTAGATTTACTTCTGGAAATATCCTTAATTTGAAGGATGTCCTTTATGTACCTGATATTAGGAAAAATCTAGTATCTGGATCTATCTTAGTAAAAAAGGGTTTTAAGATTGTATTTGAAAGTGGTCAAGTTGTACTGTCTAAGGGTGGTTCCTTTGTTGGGAAAGGGTATGCAGATGAGAGTCTGTTTAAACTCAATGTCTCTGTGATTAACAATAAAACATCTAGCTCTTCCGTTTACTTGTTGGATTCTTATGATTTGTGGCATGCTAGACTTGGACACGTTAATAAAACTTCTATTAAAAAATTAATGACTTTGGGAAACATTCCCAAAATCGATAATTGTCTAAATTCAAAATGTGAAACGTGTGTTGAATCTGAATATTCTAGAAAACCATTTCCTCGTGTTGATAGGACTACTTCGGTCTTAAGTTTGATACATTCTGATTTATGTGACTTAAAAGGATATGTTACTCGTGGTGGAAATAAATATTTCTTAACTTTCATTGATGATTATTCTCGATATTGTTATATTTATCTACTTAAGAGTAAGGATGAAAGCTATTCAAAATTTATTTCTTATAAAACTGAAGTAGAAAATCAGCTAGACAAAACTATTAAAGTTTTAAGATCTGATAGGGTTACCCTCTTTTGCCGTGTACGAGTGTATAAATTCCCAACCAACAACTTTTGTCTCCTTCTCTGCACGTGTATGTATATGATATTGGTTGGTCACAATTCTTGACTTTTCAAACGACTCCGAGAGTTGTCCTTTTTTGTGTTGGTATCTCTGCTCCAATTTTCATGTGTGTAACTAATAAATTTCAGCACCTTGGTGCCCAATTTTCCCCAAAGGTGCTCCGATTTTTCTGAGTATATTCTATAATATTAGCTGCCGTGTACTTATACATAATAACCCTACGGCCTCAATATTTGACTCCAATTCAAAGTCACTGATGTAATATTACCCCTCAAGTCCTCAATCTTTAAATATAATAAATTTCAGTCATTGGGCCCTTTTATTCTTTCATCCCATGTATTCTTTGGTTCAATTCAAGTCCTTTACTTTCCAAAGTATAAAATTTGATCTCTGAAATAGCCGATTTAGTCCGGTACCTTGGATTTTGTCATTTTTTTGCCCATTTTTGCTTCAATTCCTTTATTCAAACCCAAGTTTTATCTATTAAACATAAAATACCAAAATTTTGGATATGATATGTCAAAAGAACCATCAAATATCATTATTTTATACATCGAATAAGTGTATAAAATAAACTTATCAAGGATTAAAAAGAACAAATTGTGATATACCGTTTTCAGAAATTTCTAATATTCTTGAATTATGGTGTATTCAGTATTCTTTGTCAATGTTTAATTGATATATGTATTAAATAATCG